AGCCAGGATGGTCTCGATCTCCTGACCTTGTGATCCGCCCGTCTCGGCCTCCCAAAGTGCTGGGATTACAGGCTTGAGCCACCGCGCCCGGCCCTTGTTCGTTTTTTTTGTTTGTTTGTTTGTTTTTGAGATGGAGTCTCGCTTTGTTGCCCAGGCTGGAGTGCAATGACTCAGTCTCAGCTCACTACAACCTCTGCCTCCCGGGTTCGAGCGATTCTCCTGCTTCAGCTTCCTGAAATAGCTGGGATTACAGGCACGCACCACCACGCTGGGCTAATTTTTGTATTTTGAGTAGAGATGGGGTTTCACCAAGTTGGCCAGGCTGGTCTTGAACTCCTGACCTTGTGATCAGCCCACCTTGGCCTCCCAAAGTGCTGGGATTACAGGTGTGATACCGCACCCAGGCATCGGGTTTTTTTTTTTTTTTTTTTAAGAGAGGTAGGGTCTCATTCTATCATCTAGGCTGGAGTGCAGTGGTGCGATCATAGCTCACTGCAGCTGCATACTCCTGGGCACAAGGGATCCTCCTACCTCAGCCTCCCAAGTTGCTAGGGCTATAGGCATTGCCTCACCATGCCTGGCTAATTTTTAAATTTTTTTGTGTAGACAGGATCTTGATATATTGCGCAGGCTGGTGTCGAATTCCTGGCCTCAAGTGATTCTCCTGCCACAGCCTCCCAAAATGTTGAAATTACAGGTGTGGGCCACTGCACCTGGCCAAGATACTGTTCTTATTCTTCTCTCTGACCCACATCATCATTGTGATTTTTCCTCCTGGCATTTGTCATTACCTTGGCTGAAAAATTACCCTCTCCTTACGTCTATTATTTTGCTCCTTACTGGAGTTTTATTCATCATGAATTGATATTTTTATGCTTGCTGACCTGTGCACTGGGCCCTGTGGGTTGCACCTTTGGCGAAGAGGTAGCAGTTCTGTTTTTAATAAGTTTTTAGTTGGACCCCAAATTGACCCTGAGTAGAAATCAACATGCTTTTAGATGGTAGCTACAGGTACTATATGAGTCACTTAAACATCACCTTCTTTGGGAAGCCCTATGTGACCCTTCCATTCTGGTTTAGATATGCACCCTGTGTGCTTCCATAGCACCTTATTCTTTTTTCTTTTTTTTTAACTTTAAGTTCTGGGATACATGTGCAGAATGTGCAGTTTTGTTACATAGGTATGCATGTGCCATGGTGGTTTGCTGCACTTGTCAACCTGTCACCCTCGCCCCTTCCCTGAGAGGCCCCAGTGCGTGTTGTTCCCCTCCCTGTGTCCATGCATTCTCATTGTTCAACTCCCACTTGTGAGTGAGAACGTGTGGTGTTTGGTTTTCTGTTCCTGCATAGCACTTTGTTCTTGTCTCTATTCCAGGGCTCTTCATTTTGTATTGTAATGGATTGTTTAGTCTCCTTTTTTCTCCAGACTGGACTGTGAACAACTTGAGATCTTTTTAACTTTATATTCCCAGGGTCTAGTACCGTATCTGGTACACTTTGGGCACTCTGTAAATATTGACTGAAAGAAGAAATCAGTAGATTACACAGAGAAACCTAATCACATAAATTGGCATTAATTGAACTGTTAAATAAGGTCAAATAGCTCACTACTTCCAACTTTAGGAGTTAAGGATATGATACACATTGAAGTGGGATTATATTCTTTTTCTTCAAGTTTTTTTTTTTTTGAGATGGAGTCTCACTCTGTTGCCCAGGCTGGAGTGCAGTGGCACAATCTGAGCTCGCCACAACCTCCACCTCCCCAGTTCAAGTGATTTTCCTGCCTCAGCTTCTCAAGTAGCTGGGACTACAGGTGCACACCACCATGCCTGGCTAATTTTTGTATTTTTAGTAGAGACGGGGTTTCACTATGTTGGCCAGGCTGGTCTCAAACTCTTGACCTCGTGATCCGCCCGCTGTGGCCTCCCAAAGTGCTGGGATTACAGGCATGAGCCACTGCGCCTGGCCCACTTCAAGCTTTTTAAAACACCTTGCCTCTCTCACCCATATGCATTCTCTATCTTCACTTCCTAGTTTTCCACAACCTTGATACTTACATCAGTTAACTGCACTGAGCCATTAAAGCAGTTTCTTAATTTTCCTCTTTTTCCTGTCATACTTCTGTGTTTTTCATGCCTATTGGCATTTTTTTATCCTCCAAGAGACATGTTATCATCAGTCACTTTTTTAGTATAGTACATGAGGAGAGCAGAATTAAGTTTGAATAACAATATTTATTTGCTGGGTTACTTTTGGCAAATCACTTACCACTTTTGAATGTTAGTTTCTTCATTTGTAAAAATGACTGTAACAATACTTACCTTGTAGGATCCTCTCACTTAATTTTCTTTCTTTCTTTTTTTTTTTGTTGAGACAGAGTCTTGCTCTGTCACCCAGGCTGGAGTGCAGTGGTGCGATCATGGCTCACTGCCATCTCTGCTTCCCAGATTCAGGCGATTCTTGTGCCTCAGCCTCCTGAATAGCTGAGATTACAGATGTGCGCCGCTATGCTCGGCTAATTTTTTGTATTTTTAGTAGAGATGGGTTTTCACCATGTTGGCCAGGCTAGTCTTGAACTCCTGGCCCTCAGGCAATCCACCTACCTCAACCTCCCGAAGTGCTGGGATTACAAGCATAAGCCACTGTGCTGGGCCCTCTAACTTAATTTTCACAAGAATGGACATGATACCTGGCACATAATAAATGCTTGATAAATGGTAGTTTTCTTTTTGTCTGCATAATCTCTCTTGTTTACCAGAACCCACTTTATATTATAAGCAGGATTTATTCTCTAGGCTGACATTAAAGGACAAACTGGGCTTTTCAGAAAGCAGGAGGAATTTTTCCTTTGAGTGACTGATAAGATTAAAGAGAATAATTGACTTTAATTCACCTAGTGTAAGCTGTTCGTTCCCGGACTTTCACTGATCAGACTTCTAGACTATGAGAAGGAAAATTGGGGTTGAGAAGAAACTTATTAGGCGGAGTGTGGTGGCTCACGCTTGTAATCCCAGGACTTTGGGAGGCCGAGGCGCACGGATCACTTGAGGTCAGTAGTTCCAGACCAGCCTGGCCAAGATGGCGAAACCCCGTCTCTACAAAAATACAAAAAAATTAGCCAGGCGTGGTGGCGCCCGCCCGTAGTCCCAGCTGCTTGGGAAGCTGAGGCAGGAGAATCGCCGGAACCCGGGAGGCGGAGGTTGTAGTGAGCTGAGATCAGGCCACTGCTTTCCAGCCTGGGCGACAGAGCACGACTCCGTCTCAAAACAAACAAAAAAACTTACAAATGCTTAGAAAACAGTCTGGACGCGGTGGCTTACTCCTGTAATTCCAGCACTTTGGGAGGCCAAGGTGGGCAGATTACCTGAAGTCTGGAATTTGAGACCAGCCTGGCCCACATGGTGGAACCCCATCTTTGCTAAAAATACAAAAGAAATTAGCTGGGCGTGGTGGCCCGGGCCTGTAATCTCAGCTACTTGGGAGGCTGAGGCAACAGAATCGCTTGAACCCAGGAGGCGGAGGTTGCAGTGAGCCGAGATCGCGCCAGTGCACTCCAGCCTGGGTGGAAGAGTGAGACTCTATTACACACACACAAATAAATAAATAAATGGTTAGAAAACACTTCCAACCTGTGCAACTTCTTAAAAAATATTCCTCACTACCCGCTTCCCTTAGCTAAATCAGTACTAACCTCTGTAATGTGTTTCAGTGTAATGACAGAATAATGGACTTTGAAGTTAGGCATTATTACTGTGTTTTCCTTTCCATCATTTAGAGAGAGAGAGGTATGATAGGCTTTTCATGCCTCCTGCACATAGCTACTATAAGGACATAATAAAATGTACACGTGGAATCTGACTGTGAATCATCATAATGATTTTTTATTAATATATATGAAGTTTTATTACTAAGGTAAATGAAAATTTGTGAGGTGAGTTTAAAGTATTGTCAGAGGACCAGCAAAATCAAGAGTTCTTTAGATTAGGTCTTGGAGTAGGAAAGGAATTCAGTCTCAAGGCTGAGGGAATCTGCTGCCACGAATATCCATTTACTTACAGAATTTATTAAATATTGGGCACTAGATACACAAGATAAATAAGGAACTCATCCATGAAAAACACATTTAATAGGCTTGTTCCTAATTCTTTTTTTTTAGAGACAGGGTCTCACCCTGTCGCTCAGACTGGAGTGCAGTGGGGCGATCATGGCTCACTGCAACCTCAAATTCTTGGGCTCAAGCAGTCCTCCTGCCTTGGCCTCCCAAAGTGCTGGTGTTATAGGTGTGAGCCACCGTGCCTGGCTGTTCCTAATATTTTTAATAGCCCATTTACATTAGCTTTTGGTGGCATGATTATAATAAGTAATGACTCATTAAAAAAGTATAATAGATGAGAAACTTTAGAGCTCTGTAATCTGGATCAGATTTAGGTACTTGAGAGTCTTTGAGGGCAGGGAATCAAGAGCGAAGAGAATGGGAAGGATTTATTTTACAGATCCTGTTCAAAACCTGTGCTAATTTTCACTTTCATTTTCTTCCTTTCAGCTTTTTACCTCTCATCTTGTTAAACTCATTCTTGTTCATATATACCTTATTGCTTTTCTAGCCTTTAAGTATTAGTCATTGGTTTCCTAAAAGAGGAATTATTAATAACTTTTACTTTGCTAATCTCTTTTCCATACTCCTGGCAAAACAAATCACAAATACAATGTTTTGTAAAATTCATCATAAATAATCTTAGTTGTTGTTCAAGTTGATGATAACACATTTTATAAATTTCTAATGTTTTCATGGATGTTTGTATCTCCAGCCCAGATGTCTTTCTTGAACTCATCTCATATATTTTACTGCCTACTCTACATCTCTTGAAAATCTACGAGACATCTCAAACTCAGCATATTTAAAACTGAATCCCTGATCCTTCTTCCTAGACATGTTCCACCTCATCTCAATAACTGGAAACTCCTTTGCTCAGGCTAAACACCTTGGAGTTGTCCTTGACTTCTCTTTGTGTCCTCTATCCCATATCTAATCCATGAGAAAATCCTGCTGCTTGTACCCTAAATATATCCAGAATCTAGCCACTTCTGCTACCATTGTGACTTTTCTAGATTACTGAAGTAGTCTCTTAGCTAATCCCACTGCTTCAGTCCTCTTATCCCTACAGCTTTTCTCCAGACAGCAGATGTAGTAATCTTTTTAGAATATAAGGGAGATCATGTCACACCTCTGCTTAAAATTTGTAGTAGCTCTTTTTTCACTCAGAGTGAAAGCTAAAGTTGTTCCTATGGCCCACAAGGCCCTGCATGATCTGGCCCTCTGTTACCTCTCCTACCTTGTCTCTTACTCTGTTCTAACCACAATGGCTTCCTTGCTGTCTCTCAAACATGCCAGGCATGCCCTACCTTAGCACATTTGGGCTAGCTGTTCCCTATGTCTAGAATGCTTTTCCCCCTAGATATCTGTATGGGTAACTCACTTGCTTCACATTTTAGTTCACATTTCACCTTAATGAGACCTACCCCAACCACCCTCTTGAATGCTACAACCTGTTCATTCTTCCACTGTCTTCTCAATCTTCCTAATTTGCCTCTACATTTTCTTTTTACCTTAGAACTTACCACTTTCTAAGATACTAATTATGCTGTTTATTTTGTTTCTTTTTTATTTTCTATCTTCTATTAAAATGTAAGCCTCATGAGGGTAGGAATCTTTGTTTTGGTTGCTGTTGTATCCCAAGCATCTAGAACAGTGGTGCCTCTGTCTTAATAAGTATTGTATAAATATTGATTGAATTCAGTGAAAGATAGTATATTTAGTGATTTGGGAGGGCTCCCATTATCTAGGATATTTAATTTAGTAGACTTTGTTGTTATCTGATTAGTAAAGCATTGTTATCTAGTATACCATCTATAGTTTGAAAATAGCATTGTTACGAGAAATTTTATTTATTTATTTATATGAGACCAAGTCTTGTTGTGTCACCCAGGCTGGAGTGCAGCGGCATAATCTCGGCTCACCGCAACTTCCACCTCCCAGGTTCTATTGATTCTGCCTCAGCCTCCCAAGGGATTACAGGTGCACACCACCATACCCAGCTAATTTTTGTATTTTTAGAAGATGGGGTTTCACCATGTTGGCCAGGCTGGTCTCAAACTCCTGACTTAAGTGATCCATCCACCTTGGCCTCCCAAAGTGCTGGGATTACAGACTTGAGCCACCACGCTCAGCCAGAATTTTATTTTTTATTGCTTTTATTCGTGCTTTTACATCTTTTTAATGATGCTTATTGGACTCCAAAGTCCTCAAGTAGTAGCATTGTCTTTTACTTGCTTTGGACTATATGTAACATGAGGCATCTAAGTATATCATGAATTATTCTTGTTGATGAATAGGTAGAAAGAATAGGTAATCCAGGACAGGGAAATAGAAATACAGTAAAAGATTCAGGGTAGGCTTTAAAAATTAAGGACATGTGCCTGAGCCTTCCTCTTTTCCTCTCCTAGGGCATCTGACTGGAAATTAGACCAGCCTGATTGGACTGGTCGCCTCCGAATCACTTCAAAAGGGAAGATTGCCTATATCAAACTCGAGGATAAAGTTTCAGGTAATCTTCACTGGTGACCCTCTAACATTAAGGATATTAATTTGGTGTGCTTTTATAAGTACCTTCAATTTGGGGACTGGAATGGAAATACTTGTTAATTGGAGTTCTGGATTTTGGCTTCCTTTGCTCAAAAAAGTCTTTCTCTTATCTGTCAGGGGAGCTTTTTGCTCAGGCTCCAGTAGAACAATATCCTGGTATTGCTGTGGAGACAGTGGCAGATTCCAGCCGCTACTTTGTAATCCGGATCCAGGATGGTACTGGTAAGAGAACTGGGATTGTGAATGGAATGAAGTTAGGAAAACAGGTGAATGCATGGCCATGAAAAGTGTGTCCAATTGCATTTATCTTTCTATAGTTTACTTCATTTTTTTCTTCCCTTTCTCTAAATTTACTATAGTTGCTAAAGGAAAAGTATTAACATGTTATTTGTAATAGATATGAGTACAAGTTCAAGATGTGGTCATTCATATGTAGACTTAAATAAATCAAAATGCCACATCTAACAAAAGAATTAACACACAGGAGTTCGAGGCCAGCCTGACCAATATGATGAAACCCTGTCTCTACTAAAAATACAAAAATTAGCCGGGCGTGGTGGCGCGTGCCTGTAATCCCAGCTACTCGGGAGGCTGAGACAGGAGAATCGCTTGAATCCGGGAAGCAGAGGTTGCAGTGAGCTGAGATCATGCCATTGCACTCCAGCCTGGGCGACAAGAGCGGAATTCCGTCTCAATAAAAAAGAAGAATGAACACTTTTTGCCCGTTTATTGTTTGTGGTAGTTTTTGGTGGGGCAAAACTTGAATCATATTATGTGTGGGGCAGTTATTCTCACTTTTCTCCATGGTCTATAACAAAGATTGGCAAACAGACAAATAATAAATATTTTAGGTTTTGCAGGTCAAGTGGCCTCTGTTGCAGCTACTCAGTTTTGCTGTTGCAGTGTGAAAGCACTGTAAAAATAAACAAACACATTGATATTGACTATGTTCCAGTGAAACTTTTTCTAGAAAACCAAGCTATAGCAGGATAAAGCGCATGGGCTCTATGTAGTTTATCAACTCTTGGTCTGTGAGAAGATGTTTCACAGTCAGACTTTGTCTAGTTAGGGTGACTGTTATGTTTTCATTGGGCAGAATTTGCCATAGAGCAGCAGTCCTCAACCTTTTTGGCACCAGGGACCCATTTTGTGGAAGACAGTTTTCCACAGACCGGCATTAGGGGATGGTTTCAGGATGATTCAAGTGCATGATGTTTATTGTACACTTTATTTCTATTATTACATTGTAATGTATAATGAAATAAGTATACAACTCACTATAATGTAGAATCAGTGGGAGCCTTGAGCTTGTTTTCCTGCGACTAGACGGGGGTGATGGGAGACCCCCATCTAGGGGTGATGGGAGATAGTGAGAGATCATCAGGCAGCAGATTCTCATAGGGAGCACATAACCTAGATCCCTCACATGTGCAGTTCACGGTAGGGTTCACACCCCTCTGAGAATCTGATGCTGCCACTGATCTGACAGGAGGCAGAGCTCAGGTGGTAATGCAAGCAACGGGGAGTGGCTGTAAATACAATGGAGCTTTGCTCTCTTGTGTACAACTCACCTCCTGCTGTATGGCCTGGTTTCTAACAGGCCACAGACTGGTCCCGGGGGCTGGGGACTCCTGCCATAGAGGCTACTTCCTATTCGAGTCTTCCTACCTTTTCACAGGGCGCAGTGCTTTCATTGGCATTGGCTTCACAGATCGGGGAGATGCCTTCGACTTTAACGTCTCCTTGCAGGATCACTTCAAGTGAGTGAAGCTTGTCCTTAGTTCCCCGGTTGAATGCTTATAGGCATGCTGCTTCTCACATGAATGGGCAGTGTCTCTTTTCCTCCTGGTTTCTTTATTTCTTAAACTATTTCATTATGGTTATAAATCTCCCCATTCGCTTTTGTTTCCTTCGGTCATCTTTGCATCTATTCTATGTTTCCTTTCCTTATAGCCTGCAGTATGTTTTAGATCCCTTGTGCAGTAGTCTGAAATGATGCTCTGTCGAATTTGCCCCGTCTTTTTTCTTTTTTTTTTTAAACTTTTAATTAAAAAGTAAACTTTAATGTCGAAAATGCAAACTTGGGGAAGGCAGAAAGGTGACACACAAGGCTGTCACTTCACACTTGGAAGCTTGCACAGCAGCCGGGCAGAGGCGCTCCTCACTTCCCAGATGGGGCAACGGCTGGGCAGAGGTGCTCCTCACTTCCCAGATGGGGTGGCGGCTGGGCAGAGGCGCTCCTCACTTCCCAGATGGGGCAACGGCTGGGCAGAGGTGCTCCTCACTTCCCAGATGGGGCGGCGGCTGGGCAGAGGCGCTCCTCACTTCCCAGACGGGGCGGTGGCTGGGCAGAGGCACTCCTCACTTCCCAGACGGGGCGGTGGCTGGGCAGAGGCTCTCCTCACTTCCCAGATGGGGCGGCGGCTGGGCAGAGGCGCTCCTCACTTCCCAGACGGTGGGCAGCTGGACAGAGGCACTCCTCACATCCCAGACGGGGCGGTGGCTGGGCAGAGGTGCTCCTCACTTTCCAGACAGGAATTTGCCCCGTCTTTTAGGTGGTAGAGGGAGGTCTATAGTAACAACAGGGCTTTATGTGGGGAGTTGTGTGCCACTCTTGTTACCTTATGTAGCTGATGTGTTTTGTGACTTTTGCAGTATTTCTTTAGCCCGCTTGATTTTGGTGCCGCTGTGGTTGACAGCACTATGCACAGTCAGCTTCCTACCTCAAGAGCAAGCATATCCTTTTCTGCCTCAGGACTCTTTGAAGTTGTAGAAGTCTAAGAGCAAGGTTTAACTTGGAAAGACTAAGAAACTAACACCCCCTCGGGAGCAGCCCCCAACTGTGGGGAATGGGAATTGGTGGCTAAATGCCATCCTTTTGGAAGGGGCAAGTCTGATATGTATTCTGTGAGGTTTCTCAGAGGGCCCCCGATGGGATTGAACTCCAGTTGTTTTCTTTCTTGGCTTTTTTCCTTTCTTTTCTCACTCTTTTGTATCTCTCACTGTGCTTTCTGGAATCCCATTTCATAAAAGTAAATACACCCAAATTTGTATGTCAGACTCTGCTTTCAGGAAATCTCAAACTAAGATAACTTGCTCTGTTCCCAAAGGTGGGTAAAGCAGGAATCTGAGATTTCCAAGGAATCTCAAGAAATGGACACTCGACCTAAGTTGGATCTGGGCTTCAAGGAAGGACAAACCATCAAGTTGAGTATCGGGGTGAGTATGGTTTTGAAAAATTTTGTTTTCCTGTGCTTCCATAAGCCTATCACATCTTTCTCTTGCTCTCTTTTTTTTCTTTTGTAGAACATTACAACCAAGAAAGGAGGTGCTTCTAAGCCCAGGACTGCAAGGGGTGGGGGCCTGAGCTTACTCCCACCCCCGCCAGGAGGCAAAGTCACTATTCCCCCACCGTCCTCCTCAGTCGCCATCAGCAATCATGTCACCCCACCACCCATTCCGAAATCTAACCATGGAGGCAGTGATGCAGGTAAATCTGATACTTCTAATTTTGAGAAATCCAATCTTATATTTTAATTAAGTAACACCTGTTTGTCAAGGAGAGTTAATGTTTTTGCTGTGAAATAGCTCATGGTACTGACAAGGTGATTCTGGCAGCTTCTAGCAAGGAATCAAAGCTTTTCTGTAAACTAAGAGTCGTAGTATCTCATCGGTTCTTTGGCAGAAAATATATGCTTATTAAAAAGACAATTTCCTTCACTTTTTTCTTGGTTAGCTGTTTATAAGCTTTTGAGTCAGATGGACCAAGATTTTGGTCATGGCTCTGCTACTTTATATTTGAATGTGCTTGGTAAACATTACTTCAGTTTTTTGAGTCTCAATTTCCTTATCTACAAACTGGAGATGTAAAATCACCCCTGCGGGGACCTTGGCTCACGCCTGTAATCCCAGCACTTTGGGAGGCTGAGATGGGTGGATTGCTTGAGCTTAGGAGTTTGAGATCAGCCTGGGCAACATGACGAAACCCCATCTCTACAAAAAAATACAAACATTAGTTGGATGTGGTGGTGCACGCCTGTAGACCCAGCTGTTTGGGAGGCTGAGGTGGGAGGATGGCTTGAGCCTGGGAGGCTGCAGTGAACCATTATTGCGCCACTGTATTCCAGCCTGGGTGACAGAGTGAGACCTTGTCTGATAAAAAACAAAAATAAATAAATAAATAAATAAATAGATAAAATAAAAAAATTACCATCCCAATGTCATGAGGGGTTAAATGATTTGACAGCACCTAGCATAGCACTTGGAACATGGTAGCCATTTAGTAAATGTTATTTCTTAAACCTTCCCATTTCTTCACAAGAGCAATTGGGAGAAAAGGAGATTTGTCCATACATTTTCATTCTTTTTTTCTGTCTGGTGGGAGAAAGAATAAATATAGTTACATCTTCTCATTTGAAAAGTGAGAGCATTGGAACTGAGAAAAGAAATTTTCTAAGATTAGGGAACTATGTCTTAGAATCTGAGAATTTTAACTTAATGTATTGGACAATGCAGATAATTGGTTGAATTGATTACTAAGGCTAAGCTTTCTCTTTCTGGAATTTTTGAGGTGAAAATGTTACAGCCTGCTTCTTTTGGTAAGTGTTGCCAGAAGGCACTGGGGATAGTATCTAAGATTTTTTTAAAATTAAATTATTATTTTGAGATAATTGTAGATTAACATGCAGTTGTAAGAAATAATATGAAGAGATCCTGTTTACCCTTTTCCCAGTTTCGCTCAATTGGTAATATTTTATGAAACTATTGTCAATTATCACAAATCAAAAATTGACATTATACCACTTTCTCATCTTACTCAGCTTAAACCATTTTACATGTTCTTATCTGTGTATATTTGTGTGGATCTGTATATTTAGTTCTATGCAGGTTTTTTTGTTTGTTTTTTTATTTTTTGAGACAGGGTCTTGCACTGTTGCTCAGGCTAGTGGTGCAGTCATAGCTCACTGCAGCCTCAAACTCCTGAGCTCAAGAGATCCTTCTGCGTCAGCCTCCCAAACATCTGGGACTACAGGTGCACACTGCCACACCAAGCTAATTTTTAAACTTTTTGTAACAACAGAGTCTCACTATGTTGCCCAGGCTGGCCTCAAACTTCTAGGCTTCAGTGATCCTGCCTTGGCCCCCCAAAATGCTGGGATTACAGGTGTGAGCCACTGCATCTGGCTAGTTCTTTGCAGTTTTGTCGTATGTAGGTTCATGGATCCACCATCATTTCAGGCTATAGAACAGTTTAATCACTACAAAGATCCCCTGTGTCAACCTTACACAACCACACCCATCTCCCTCTCGTCCTTTCTTCCCCCATTCCTAACGCTTGACAATCACCAGTCTATTCTCCATCTTTATAATTTTGTCACTTCAGGAATGTTCTGTGAAAGGAATCATACAGTATGTAACCTTTGGGACAGGCTTTTCCCACTCAGCATAATTCCCTTGAGATTCATTCAAGTTGTGTATATCAATAGTCTGTTCCTTTTTATTGCTGAGTAGTATTCCATGGTATGGATATGCCAGTGTGAGTAACTATTGCCCAAGGAATGACATCTAGGTTGTTTACAGTTTTTGACCATTATAAGTAAAGCCGCCGTGGCATTTGTGTGCAGATTTTTTGTGTGAACATAAATTCTCATTTCCTAGATTTTGATGATGTTTTTCTTTTTTCTTTTCTTACCTTGTGTTTAGATATCCTTTTAGATTTGGATTCTCCTGCTCCCGTCACGACACCAGCACCAACTCCAGTTTCTGCAAGCAATGACTTGTGGGGGGACTTCAGCACTGCATCCAGGTGATGGGCGCAGTGAAACTAGCGTACTCTCAATCAGGGTGTAGAAGATATGTGCAGTCAATTGAAAGCTTTGATCTGGAGAAGCAATGGATATGCAGGTCACATAGAGTCTTTTGGAGGAGTTATAGTGAAGGAAATATAGTAGTGCTGGGAATGGTGGGACAAGAAAGCTGTAGGATGAGGTTTGAATGGGATATTTCAGGCTTTGGTAAGTAGAATTGCCATGAAGTGTAGTTTTGGAAATTCTAGGCAGTGATTTCTTAGAAACTATTAAGTAAAGAATGGAGTTGTTATCCTAATATGATGTCTTTGACTTTCTGTATTCTCCTGTCTTGCAGCTCTGTTCCCAACCAGGCACCACAGCCATCCAACTGGGTCCAGTTCTGAATGGCATTGGCAGGACATTAAGGACAGACTTGAGGAATAAAAATGACCTTGAGGGCACCAATCTGTGAGGGAAGTTAGGAACCCATTTCCTCCCCAGAACCAAAATGACTGGACAATCTTTTTCATAGCTTCTCCATTACATTCAAGCTGGTTTATGTCACTCCCCTGTGTTGTTACTTGTGCAGCCAAGAAAGTATCTGTTATCTCCTGCTTAGTACCAAGGTAGGGGACTAGTGGATCTTATCATAGTCTTGGCTGACCATGCAGGGCTCAAAAGGCCAGCGTCTGTTTGAGGGGGAATGACCTCTAACATCTGTAAAATTTGTCTCATCTTTTAAATTCTTTAACTTATTTCAAAATCATCTCATGACCCTTGTGTGCCTCTTTGTGAAGCCCTATTTAGCCATTTCAGGGGAGTCAAAAACCTTGCAACTTCCTTCTCCACTAACCCAGGACTAAAAATGGACAGGCTGACCTCAGTGTTTACAAATTCAGAATTTTGATAGGGGTAGATATGGAGAAAGGCCTATTTCCTGGGTCTCTGCTGTGTAGCCTCCTTCAGGCTTATTGTACTCAGTGAACATCCAGTGCTGGGTGCAGCTCCATCGCCCTCTTGTGTGTTTACATGTCTCTTTCTATGATAAGAGGGTTGTGTTGGTGGCACCTCCACTATTCTTTTCTGTTTGTTGAATTTGAATTGTGTAACATCTTTGACCAGTGGGTGTCTCTGTAATGAAGGAGGTTCAAGAGGCTGTGCTTTCCAAGTGATAGTCTATAGGAGTGTTTAATTTCTTGCAGCTCCATCTGGTTGCTGCATTTGAAGCATGGCATTAATTTGTATTTGCCCTGTTATTTGACCTAAAGTTGGAGGGTTTAGAGTTTTTAACCTGATCTGTAGAGCAGAGAGGTTGAAAACACTTAACTCTTGTTTAGTACCCTCATTGCCTTGCTGCCTGGGTATCTGGCCCCTTTCCATAAACATTTCTTTTCAGTTCATGTAGTTCTTTAACAGAAAGCTGCTATTATGTATATTGTCATTTGTGAAGGAAGTTGAAGAGTCACAGCTTTACTGTGACAGGTTTTGCCCAAGGCTTTGATACCTGTCACCCAGGGTATCTTAAAAGCAAGTTGTTCTCCCACTACTTTCCTTTCCCTCTGCCCTGCCATTCCTTTTACAATGCTGTGAAAAAAGTTGTGCTTCTTAGGTGAGTGGGTACTTTCTATTTTGTTTCTCAGTGAGCAATTTTGAGGATGAAATGGGAAGATATAATTGCTTCCCTTTTGCACCTATTTGGGTATGTACACTCTGGCAGAAGGGAGTCCTTAGGTTTAGTTTCAAAATATATTACTTTCCTGGATTCCCTTCTTAACTTTTTCTGACTTGGGTCCATTTTCTTTTCATTGCCTCCTTTTCCAGGCAGCTCTATTCTTGCAGAGCCATGGCAGGACATATTAAAATTCCAGTAGAGAACACTAAAAGGAAAGTCTGTAGAATCACTAGTGACTAAATACTGGGAACCTATTTTCTCAATCTTCCTCCATGTTGTGTTCTTTGTATTCTCAAGATGATAATATATTATGTATTTGAATTCCTGAAAAATGGAAAATGTTTAAGATATATGTATATAAAGCATATGCTGTATTGGTGCAATAATGGTAATTAAAAATATGAAAAAAGTGTCTCTTTTATCTTTTAATTTGCTTATTTGATTACCTTTTAAATGGAATCGACCAAACATAAATGGACCAGTAGGTAATAAAGGATATTTATATCACTCTTTATTAAGAAATAAGGCTTTTAAGAAGTTGAGACTAGAGCTTTGTGCTCATGGTCCTAAGATGACAGAGCACTCTGTGTAATCAATGAATATTCATTATTTATTTTCTGGTGCAGTTAATTTGCTTCCAATTATCTTCATGATCTAGGCCACTTCTTATATCTTAACTGTAATCAGCAGAAATGACAGGGATCAGTATAAGAGAAAGAACTAAGGTCAGAGCCACAGACTTTGGAAACCAGAAAAGATCTTGGGAGTTCTTGTCCATTGATTGTCACAGGAGATAAATTAGCTAGATGTGGTGGTTTACTTCTGTAATTCCAGCACTTTGAGAGGCCAAGGTGGGAAGATTGGTTGAAGCCAGTTCAAGACCAGCCTGGGCAATATAGCGAGATCTCATCTCTACAAAAAATATAAAAATTAGCTGGACATGGCAGCATGTGCCTGTAGTGCCAGCTGCTTGGGAGGTTGAGGTGGGAGGATCACTTGAGCCTGGGAGGACGAGGCTGCAGTGAGCTGTGATTGTACCACGGTACTCTAGCCTCGGTGATAAAACGAACTTTCTCAAAAAAAAAAAAAAAACAGCAAAACCAAAAAAAAAAAACCAAAAACATGAATCAAGGCTGGGCACAGTGGCTTATACCTATAATCCCGCACTTTGGGAGGCTGAGGCGGGTGGATCACTGGAGGTCAGGAGTTTGAGACCAGCCTGGCCAACATGGTGAAACCCTGTCTCTACTACAAATACAAAAATTAGCTGGGCGTAGTGGTGGGTGCCTGTAATCCCAGCTACTCTAGAGGCTGAGGCAGGAGAGTCACTTGAACCTGGGAGGCAGAGGTTGCAGTGGGTGAGACTGCACCACTGCACTCCAGCCTGGGTGACAGTGAGACTCCATCTCAAAGAAACAACAACAACAAAAAACCCAAAAAACCCTCCCTTGAAAACTGTAAAACTATAGCTACAATAATTTGTTAGTGGATACGTGGTATAAAAAGATGAAAATTGGTATCAACAACAAAATGCGGCTGGGTGTGATGGCTCATGCCTGTAATCCTAGCACTTTGGGAGGCTGAGGCGGGAGTATTGCTTGAGACCAGGAGTTCAAGACCAACCTGGCCAACATAGTAAGACCCTGTCTCTAAGAAAAAACAAAAATTATAGATGGGATGGAAATTTAAAGTGCAGAGTTTTTGTATGTGATTTAAATTATCAGCTTAAAATAGACTGTTAAAAAGTGTTATGTAAACCTCATGGTAATCACAAAGCAAAAACCTACAGTAGATACACCAAAGATAAAGAGAACAAAGTACTGTAGAAAATCATCAAATAACAAAGGAAGAGAGCAAGAGAGGAAGAAAGGAACAAAGGGCCCACAAAACAAAAAACAATTTTAAAAATGGCAGTAGTGAATCCTTACCTATTAATGATTGTTTTGAATGCAAAATGGATTACATTCTCCAATCAAAGGACAGAGTGGCTAAATGAATTAAATAAACAAGACTCAACTGTATTCTGCCTACAAGAGCCTCACTTCACCTTTAAGGAAACATACAGACTGAAAGTGAGGCATGGAGAAAGATATTTCATGCAAATGGACACCAGAAGAGAACAGGGGTAGATATATAGTCCCTCCTTATCTGAGGTTTTGTTTTCTGTGCTTTCAGTTACCTGTAGTCAACCATGCTTTGAAAATACTAAGTGGAAAATTTCAAAAATTATTCATAGGTTTAAAAGTGGCACACTGTTCTGAGTAGTGTGATGAAATCTCACACCATCCTACTTTGCCCTGCCCTGGATGTGAATCATCCTTTTGTCCAATGTATACATGCTTTATATATTACCTACCTATATGACACTTAGTAGTCCTCTCGGTTATCTGATTGTTCTGGTAATGCAATGCTTGTACAAGTTCAGTTAACCCTTGTTTTACTTAATAGTGGCCCCAAAGCACAAGAGTAGTGACTCTGGCATGTTGTTATATTTATTCTGTTTTATTATTACTTATTGTTAATCTCTTGCTGTGCCTAATTTATAAACTAAACTTTATCATAGGTGTGTATATATAGGAGAAAACATAATGTATATAGGGTTCAGTACTATCTGTGGTTTCAGGCATCCATGGGGGATCTTGGAATGTATTCCCTGAGGATAAGGGGGAAATACTGGATGTATTTCAGACAAAATAGACTTTTAAATCAAAAGCTATAACAAGAGTGAGAGACAGGGTCATTATATAAATGTCAAAGAGGTAAATTTTTTTTTTTGAGACAGAATTGCCCTCTGTCACCCAGGCTGGAGTGCAGTGGTATGATCTCAGTTCACTGCAACCTCTGCCTCCTGGGTTCAAGTGATTCTTCTGCCTCAGCCTCCTGAAGCTGGGACTACAGCCATGTACCACCATGCCTGGCTAATTTTTGTATTTTTAGTAGAGATGGGGTTTTGCCATGTTGGCCAGGCTGGTCTTGAACTCCTGACCTCAAGTGATCCACGCACCTCGGCCTCCCAAAGTACTGGGATTACAGGTGTGAGCCATTGTGCCTGGCCCAAAGAGATAAATTCATCAAGATGATATAACAATTATATGTGCATTTAAGATTGGAGCATCAAAATATATAAAGCAAATAACAGATTTTTTAAAAAAGAGAAAGTAAGTTTATTAAGAAAGTAAAGGAACAAAAGAATGGCAGAACAGCCCTCTTAACAGACTTGAAGAGGGAAATAGACAGCAATAGAATACCCCACTTTCAACAATGGATAGATCAGACAGAAAATCAAAGAGGAAACATTGAACTTGAACTGCACTTTGGACAATATGGGCCTAAGAGACATATACATAACATTTATTCAACAGTAGCAGAATACACATGCTTCTCAAGTGCACATGGAATGTTCTCCAGTATAAATATGTTTGGTCACAAAACAAGTCTTAACAAATTTAAGATTGAAATCGTGTTGAGAATCTTTTGACTATAATAGTATGAAATTAGAAATCAATAACAGGATGAAAACCAGAACATTCACAAATATGTGGAAATTAAAAAGTTTCCTGAACAACTGATGGGTCAAAGAATCAAAAAGAAAAAAGAAAAATATCTTGAGACAAATTAAAGTGGAAACACAGCATATCAAAATTTCTGGGATGCAGCAAAAGTAGTTCTAAAAGGGAAGTTCATAGTGCTAAATACCTACATTAAGAAAAAAAGGAAGATCTCAAACAACCTAATGTTACACCTAAAGGAACTAGAAAAAGCCCACAGTTAGCAGAAAGAAAGAAGCAACAGGCCAGGCACAGTGACTCACGCCTGTAAGCCCAGCACTTTGGGAAGCCAAGGCAGGTGGATCACGAGCTCAAGAGTTCTAGACAAGCCTGGCCAACATAGTGAAACCCTGTCTTTACTAAAAATACAAAAATTAGCTGGGTGTGGTGGCGTGCACCTGTAGTCCCAGCTACTCGGGAGGCTGAGGTGGGAGAATTGCTTGAAACCGGGAGGGTTAGTACATTTTAGTAAGGTCAGCTCATTACCTTCAATGTTTTCTAGATGAGATACACCAGTTGTGACAAATGCTTGGTCTTAACATTGAATTGCAGGTCACCTCAGAATAAATTAAATTCTATTTTCCTTTTTTCATTCCAGTGCATTTTCCCCATTTTTCCTCTGTATTGAGGATGGCAAACAGCTACTTTATGCCTTGCAAATAAATTGGTTTCTGTGGTCATCATTACAAATCAAGCCAATTGGGTGCTGCTGTGCATATCAAAGCCTACAGCTTCTCCATGAATCCTAATACAGGCCAGCTGATTCTCTTCAAGAAACAATCAAACCATCCCTGCCTTCTCCACCATATCTTTGATGTTTCCCTGCACCTTTTCTTTCTTTTTTAAAAAACTTCTATTTTAGATTCAGATGTACATATGCAGGTTTATTATATAGGTAAATTGCGTGTCATGGGAGTTGGATATACAGATTATTTTGTCACCTAGGTAATAAGCATAGTACTTGATAGGTAGTTTTTCAATCCTCTCCCTCCTCCTCCCTTCCCACTCAGGGACCCAATGTCTGTTGTTCCCTTCTTTGTGTCCATATGTACTCAATGTTTAGATCTCATTCATAAGTGAGAACATGTGGTATTTGGTTTGCTATTCCTGCATTAGTTCACTTAGGTTTATGGCCTCCAGCTCTATCTATGTTGCTGCCAAGGACATGTTCTTTTTCTTTTTTCATGGGAGCGTAGTATTCCATAGTGATTATATACCACATTTTCTTTATCCAGTCTACCATTGATGGGCATTTAGGTTGATTTCATGACTTTGCTATTGTGAATAGTGCTGCAGTGAACATATGTATGTGGCATGCATGTGTCTTTATGGTAGAATGATTTATATTCCTTTCGGTATACACCCAACAACGGGATTACTGGGTTGAATGGTAGTTCTAAGTTCTTTGAGAAATCACCACACTGCTTTCTACAATGGCTGAACTAATTTATGTTCCCACCAGCAGTGTATGTGTTCCCTTTTTCCCACAGCCTCATCAACAGCTGTTATTTTGAGTTTTTCATAATAGCCATTCTGACTGGTGTGAGATGGTATCTTATTGTGGTTTTGATTTGTGTTTCTCTAATGATTAGTGACATTGAGCAATTTTTCACATGCTTGTTGGCCACATATCTTCTTTTGAAAAGTGTCTGTTCTTGTCTTTTGCCAACTTTTTAATGGGGTTATTTGTTTTTCGCTTGTTAATTTGCTTAAGTTCTTAAAGATTCTGGATATTAGATCTTCATCAGATGCATAGTTTACAAATATATTCTCCCATTCTGTTGGTTGTCTGTTTACTCTTGAATAGTTCATTTTGCTGTGCAGAAGCTCTTTAGTTTAATTTGGTTTCATTTGTCAATTTTTGTT